CCGGCAGCATAACGGCAGTCTATGGAATTTACACAAAAATTCCTAATTTCACAAATTACCAAATTAGCACATAATATTCACAATAACATTTCAAGACTTTTATTCTATTGCTCGGACAATTTCGGACTTCATCAGAAATCACAGTCAAAATAAAACACAGCCGAGTAAAAACTATCCGGTAAAATTCTCCAGAAAATAATCAAAACGTGCACACTCGGCACCTCAGAAACATACCAAAAGTTACGCAGTAAAAACTGAACCAATCAGAAAATACGGACGAAATTCGCTAACGAAAATGAAATCCGAGCAGAATAATCATTCAAACTTCATCGTACTGAAAATTGAGAAAGGCGGAATGTGCCTTACTTTGCGTACACCATTTTCTTGAACTATCTCGACGGACGAAAACGGCCCGGCGTTGCCCAAAAATCAACTTTTCCACTTTTCCTCTTTTCCTTTCTCTCTCCTCATAATTTCAGATATTTTTATTTTTATTTTTCTCTCTCTTCAAAACGACTGATTTTCATTAAATAAGCTTGAGATCGGCCCGGCCGATCGCACGATCGTCTTGGACGATCTGAACAAACTTGCATCATCCTGGGAAGATTTCTCAGGATGATAATTAATTTTCTTGGACGATAAAAACCCCTACTCTCTGACTTGTGTCATGCTCTGATCGTCCCGGGACGATCCCAGATCGGCCCGGACGATGCTTACAGGAAAACTTTCATGTAACTTATGTACAGATTCTGGAACAAAATTTGAACTGATCGTCCCGGGACGAAACCCGATCGGCCCGGACGATATGAACAAAGTTGCTATTACAGCTAGGAACAACGGTACCTCATTGTGGGCTCCAAAAATTCGGCCCCAGACTCCCTGCCGTGCTGTTCTTTTTATTTGGCGAGGCAGTTTTAACTGATATAAGTTCCGGGGTAAATTTTGGAATGTAGATGGGTTTGTAGATAAGACACTACCCAGAGATTTCGCCCTCATTTTATAAGGACTTTTTGATATGAGTTCTGGTTTCCTATAAGCGCAAGCCCATATAGTTAATTACCCCTCCCGATCACGAGAGAGAACTTTTGATTAAGGCTAGTCGTCAATCAGATACGTATAAAATACGTGTAATCTGGTATATAGTAGCAGCATAGGGTTTAAATTTGAGAATTGGGTATTGGAAGTTTGGGAATTTAAAGATTTTGAGGTTTCGAATTTGGGTTGGGAGATTTGAGAAATTTGATATTTAAAACTAGAATTTTCACCATCTTTCACTTAAAGCGGATTGTTGGGGGAATGGATGATGGACCCGATCAAGATCCCATGGTTCCGTCATGCCGGGCAATCGTGGACCCTAGTCTACTTAGTTAGAGGAGGTAATCAACCCAACCTGATGGAAGGATCCTTATCGGCAGCCATGGGTTGCTTCGTCCAAGGGGACCTTGTAGACCTAGGGTGAATATTTTCCTAAGTGGACAAATTTGAATCCACCTTAGCTAACAGAGGGCTTTGTGCCCAGTCGATCATATCCTATTGATTCATATCTCAAGGATTTGATGCCAATAAGAAATGTAACGACGCTGGCCATAATCGGTATTTCGTGGTACCATTTGGTGGCAAAACCACTCGGTTTAGAGGGCCCCAGGTCATAACCGTTTATCCTATGGTGCCATTTGGCAGCAAAACAGCTGGTCAGAGAACACGTACCACGTTCTTACTGGCAGAAGATTGTTTGAGAATGGATCCTAGTAATATTTCCGACTAGGCATTTAGATCTTTTGTGAGCTGAAGTAAATTTTAATTTGTCCACCTCAGTAAACTGTTGCAGAGAGTGGATGAATTTTGCTTTAGGCATGGATGGTTTGACTTCGTTTTTAAATATCTGGAATTTTGGGTATTTTTGGGATTTGGGGTTTTGAAATTTTTTGGAGTTTGTGGAGCTATGGATCTTGATGGGCATTAATTTGGATATTTGGGAGTAATTTGAAAATGTTTGTGAACCCCTTCGGTTGAGATAAGCAATTAACATGGCCATCATCGGGGTGTTGGGATTCATTTCCATTTGAAGCTTGAACCTTGTTGACCCTATCAATTTATTGATAAGGGATATGGTTTCATAGTCTTTGTGCCCTTTGTGAGTGAATTCTTTTAATTATAGGCCTTCAAGGCCTGATATGAATGTATTAAAACAAATACACCGATCGCTACAATCGTGTATTTGTTTGAAGGTTCGAACCCTGTCGACTTCTATTGATCCGTATAGAAGGATCGAATTCGAATTTGAATTCACTTGTTAACTCGCGCAACATCCCTAAACGTCACGTATGTACCAATAACACGCTCGCCGAGGCCCTTACATGTTTTATAATTTCTTTTACCCCTTTTAGTGTACCTATGTGTATACAAACTATAGTGCACGTGCGGGGGTACTTTGAAATAATTGTAGACGCCTTCTGTCTGCTTATACGAATGTTGTAGATCCGGTGGCGTGGCGTAACAGCTTCTGAATTAAGCTGTTTGCTAGTTTGTACATGTAGACTATCGAGCATTACTCGTTGCTTCCTGTAGGTGGATCATAGTGCACTAACGAGTCTCCAACTTTAGGTCATAGGCATTGTGTTTATCATGAGCTTCTGTGATGGCTCATAGACGATACTTTACATGAGAGGCTCCCTATGATGGTTCATAGGTATTTGAATTTGCTACAAACCATCTGCTTCTGACTGTGAATGGACTGTTGTATGAATGAGGACTCTCGTACATTTCCTTTTGGACAAAATGTTAGTTGCACGACGTAATGAGCTTTTATATTAACTCGTAGGAGTTCGTCTTTGGCACAATTCTTTTGTATTTGCCTATGAGTGGTATGTTGAGTGTATGGTGGATCTCCTATAATGACTTGTAGATATCCACATTTGATGTATATTCTCCACCCTTACTTACAACGGATCGGTGTATTTTTGCTTGTGAGTATCACTATGTTCATTCGATGATTGATGATGATTGTAGGACATTACATCTTCCAGGATCTCCTTTGTATTTGTTGCAGTCCTTTATGCATTTCTCCTTATAAATGACATGTAGTGTGTATAGTAGACTTATAAAATTGATGTTTGCTTGCAATCAGCATCACATGTTTGCATTTACCATTTTGAGATCCAATTCATTGCTTAGTGGCTTGTGGCATGTTTCCTGTGGTTTGAAAGAAACTCATTTTCTATTAGAATTCAAATTCTTCTTGGTTGAATCTGATTATAGTCTTCTGTCATTTGTTTGAGTTCAAGACCCATATGACATAATTCAGTCCAAGCTCAAATCTTGTTATTTGCATTCAAGCAAGACTCCTTGCAACCTAAGGTAAATCCAAATCTGAGTCCAGTTCAACATCAACCGCTTAAGCTTGATTTAAGTATGATTTTTTACTCAAGGCATGGTTCATTGAGGCTTCATTTTGGATTCAATATAGACTCAAATCAAATTTTTACTTGAATCTAATGCTTGATTAATGTCCAGATTAGCTCAAGTCAATGCTCAAGTTTGAGCCATAATCTCTTGTGATCCAAACCAATTTTGTATTGATGCTTATTTTCTTCAAGTTCAAGTTCCACTACACTTTATATTCAAGTATTATATACCTGAGTTTGCAAATTCAATTTCATGTCATTAAGTCCAACTTAAGTCCATTTTGATCGTTCACTTAAGTTCAAATCAACTTGCGAGTTCAATCCAAGTCCTTTATAGTCTTGTTCGGTTCGAGTTTAATGTCCACAAGTCCTCTGTTGTTTTCTGATTTGAGTTCAAGTGATCCTTGTAGTTGTCCCAAACTGCAATCTCAAGTACAAGTTCTTTGCATTCGTTCTTTCTAAGTTGAAATAAAAATTCACTTGACTTTAAGTTTATTTAGGTTTGAATTAGCTTAGGTCGATTGCATCAAGTTCACAAGTTCGAGTCCACTGTTCTATCAAATTCAAAGGTTCACAAGCTGAGTCCAAGTTTGATCGTCCTTCGAGTGCAATCAAGTCCAAGTGTAGCATTATGTTCACATGAAATTTCGACAGCCTTCCGGCATCTCCCCCGTTTAGGGGAAAACTACGAAAAACTGGTCCTTTCCCACCACGCTAAGAAAAGTGTGTATGATAGGTGCCCTCTTTCGAGGACACCGCGGCCGTGTATTTTTTGATCCCCCACCACGTCAAGAAAAGCGTATATGGGTATTTTTTTTTGAAAATATTTTGCAAGAAAGTTTTTTTTGCAAGAAAAGCACTTATTTCCCCGCAAGCGGATACTTATGGGTATCCCCGCTTCGTCTTACGCATCGCACCGGGTTCCCATCCCACCACGCTAAGAAAAGCGTGTATAGGCGGGGAAATCCGTGGCGATACGAACTTCGAAGAAGGAATTTTAGGTGATTGCCCGCTTTGTCGCAAGCGTCGGGACGCACGTCCTCCCACCACGCTAAGAAAAGCATGTATAGGTGGTCATTTTGTCTCGACAAATGTGTTGAAATTGGGTTCTCGGAGTTTTAGGGTTTAGAATTATTATACCTGTGTAACCGTCGGTGCGTGGATCGAGGCAGAAAGAGCAAATAACTATAATCATTTATTTTAATTATAAATAATTAATTAACTAATTATAATTAATTAGTAATAATTAATTATAATTTCAATTATTTAATTATAAATAATTACTCATAATTATTTAAATAATTATAATTAATAATTGATTAATATTAATTGATTAATTAAGATTAATTTATTATAATCATAATTAATCAATAATTAGTTATAATTGATAATTATAACTAATTATTAATAAATTATAATTAATAACTAATTAATATTAATTAACTAATAAAAATAATAAAAATCCCTCTTCTCTCCCTCTGATTCGAACTTTTATTCTATCCAGTGAACGTACGCAAAGGAAGATTCGATTTTAGATAAAAAAACATCTATATAGAGTTTAAAAAAACTCGTACACACGTCTTTTTTCCCTAAAATCGAACCTAAACCCTAAACGGTGAAGCGGATAGAATAAAAGTTCCTCTGATTCGGCTGGCTTACGGGATTTGGCCGAGCGAGTGCGTGAAAGGGAGAAAGTTACCTTGACGGCCAGCCAACTCCTGCTCTTGCTTCCGATCTAACAGCAAAGGGGATCGGTGGAGGGAGGATTCAAGCAGGTTGGTCTCTTCCTCTTTCTCTCTCTCTCTCTCTCTCTGTGCAGATCAGAGCTCACGATCGAGAGCGAGAGTCGACCGTGTGCAAGGCTCGAACGTCGGGATGAGGAGGCGAGGTGGACGTTGGCCTTGGGCTTGTGTTCGGCTGGGTGAGGAGATCGGCGGGATAGGGTGTAGAGAAGTGGAGCTTCGATGGCACAGGAGAGTTACGGGAGAAGAAGAGCTCGAAGATTTCGGGAGGAGAAATCGCAGAAGCATAGAGGGATCGGAGCTCTTGAGATCGGCACAGTGGAGTTCGTATCAGAGGAGCGGTGCTTCAGCTCCGTTTCGCTCGATATTTAAAGACCCGAATGGGAGCGGGATCGAGGGATCGACACAGGATTTTTGCAGAAATCCCGAAACGGCGCCGGATGTACAGTGGTATTGCGGGATTTTTGCAGAATTTACGGGATTTAGAAGAGGTAATTTGCAGGTATTTTGATCTCTTTTTCTTTCTCTTTTGATTTCTTATACAGAGGTCAATACTCATAATCCATGCTTGGACTTTGAAGGAGCTTAAATATTTTTGACAAACCTAGATTTCTCTCTTCAAATAGGAGAAGATTCATTTCTGTCAGGATAATGGAAATGCAACCCTTCCATAAAAAATCAAGTTTTCTTATAAAACTGAAAACCAACAAGCTTGAAATATGTGCCAACATAAATTTTATCTCCGGATGCATTCCACCTTAAGCGCCGAACATGTCACACAAAATTTTTTTAACTTCCTGGTCTTCTCCACACCCACTGACCCTAATAATACTAGCTAATTGAGAGAGACAATCATATGCCCTACAGGGTAAGTTTTCATTTATTGCTTTCAGTTGATTATGACACTCAGTTTGTCTCAAAAGCCATATAATATGCAGAAGTGATGAATTCATTAATTTCATTGCAGCTGCAAGATAGTTACCTCTTGTTGAATCCTCTCTCTAATTTCATTTAGTTTCTGCTTCCATACTTTCATTGGAATAATGCTCTCAATCATGTTATCTACAACCAAGCTGGTTCCGTCCTTACACAATTGATCTATTAAAGGGTGATTCCCTCGAATATAAGCAGCAGAATATGTTATGACGTCCCATTTATTACCAGAGAATACACCCTCAGAGTAAAGATGGGAGAAATCAACCAAGTCATTACCTTGATGAGTGAATTTACCCATGATCTGATCTGCCATGGGCTCCCAAAATAACACCATCAAGTTGCAAAAGTAGATGCGTACGACAAATACAATTTGACAGACATTTCAAATGGGTAGATGTAACAACTCATATAGATGTAACAACTCATCGCTGAAGTATCTGACTTTCCACCTTCAATAGGAAGATGAGCACTAACACATCTAGAAGCTAAAATAATAAGCTGTGCTTGAAGAATAAATGGAGCATATAAAATAAAGGGGCTACTGATTAATTTTAGAGAAGCATTCAAAGATATGTCAGGAATCATTCTCTTTATGACACTTGAACCAGATAACGAAATGAATGAACCTACTATAGTCCTGGTCATTTCTGATTAATTGAAGAAAATGACTGAATACAGGCTCCAGAAGTATACATGTCTGAGCCTGAGTGTAACGACATGCACAGAGCTTCTCAGAATTAGCAATTAAAATATGTACAGAAATAAGATGCTTTCTCAATATTAAATTCTCTGAGAACTCAACTATGAATACCTACAAACAAACTTGATTATCAACTTTGTAAGTTAGCTGGATTCTTGTAAACTATTATATAAATTAGTTTACTCCATACTAAAGTAAGGACATCTATCCTTAATTGGAGTCGCTTGGCAGAGCAGATTTTGTATAAATTGCCATTACAAATTTTGTGCCAACGGAAGTCAAATTTATATTGCTACACTTTTAGATCAAATGTTTGAAGGTGTCTATTTATTAAGTAGAATGTTAAAAAAAAGGAAATGTATATATAGAAGATAAAATGTAAAAAATTAGTGGAAAAAGGCAAAATATAATATATAATTTAAATGGGTTGATTTTGCCAAGTCTCAGTCATTATTAAAAGAAGAGATGCAATCAAGGATTATCATTTTATATTTTGTATTTTATTTATGTTTTGGACTTTATGTAATTTTTTGTCTATGTTTTTTTTTATGTTCCCTATGATGGAAAACAACCCGTGATCATGCTTGGATTTGATGCTATTTGGTAATTTCTCTCCTTTGTTTTCCATTCTTGATCTTGTTCTCTTGTTTCTTTATTGGCTTAGTGCACATTTATTTTTGGGCTGAAATTTCCTTAATGGGCTTGGCCCATTTCATTCCCTTCCTCTTGGTTGCTTGGTGTTCCATGCTTATTACGGTTTGTCTTTTGCTGGTTGGAATTCCTGTTATTTCTCTTGCAGCTGGCAATTTACTCTTGTTGTTTAGAATTCTTGTAGCTGTCCTCCCCTTCCTTTGTGTTGTTTCCAAGTTTTTTGTTGGCTCCTATTGGCTATTTGGGGTGGCTCATTTATGGGGTTGTTGGGTCCTTTTTCCTCTATATGGGGGATGTTTGTTGTAGGAAAGGAGATATTTTTGGCTGAAATTTGCTCATAACCTGAGGGTTTTTCATCCAAGCTTGAGAGCTACAATCAATCTCTACCTAATTCTTCTTCTAGTCTTCTATCTATTTCATTTCTCCATGGTTTCACTTCATATTGTATCCTTCTTCTCCAAATATAGTGATTGTGGTATGTTGTTTGGCCGGTTTATTGGTATTTGTCAGAGGAGTGTCACCCGGTGTTGAATAAAGATTTATGTGGTGAACCTTGGTTTAAATTTTCCTTGGAGCACTAACCTATTTTTCAGATTTGCATGTGAGGTGACCTTTCTAGGTTCCTCTGAGGGAAGTTTATTTTTATTTTAATTTATTTTGCTAAGTTCATAATAGTTCTCTTGCATCTATTTCATTTTAATTTTCTTTCTGTTGTTGTGGTTTTTTTTGCTACTGAAGGAAGTGTTCTGTTTTTCCTAGGTGTTGTCCTGCTTGAACTTCTAGAACTTAGGATACATCAATTTGGTATCAGAGCATCTAGGTTATCGTGTGCGTCTTTTTTCTTTAAAAAAAATAAAAAATCAAAATAATCAAGCATATTGGCAACAAATGATGATGCAACAAATGTCTAATCTACAACAACAATTGAAAACTATGTCTAATACTTGGCTGCCCTAAATGTAAACAATACTCATGCACAAAACAATGAGAGTGAAGATGAAGCACAAAGAAACCAAAATAAAAATAATAGGTAGTGGGATCATGGGAGTAAATTGCGTGTGTGAATTTGAAGGCAAAGTACAACCTAAACAATTAATTGAATGGGTCGAGAAAATGGATCAATTTTTTGAATAAAAGAAATCCCTGAAAACAAGAAAGTTAGGTTTGCTAGCTTAAAACTAACGGTCGTGTTGCGGATTTGTTTTCATGATTTATGATTTTGAAGATAACAAACACTCCTATTTCTCTACAACGGTCTTATTTTCTTACATTTCAGGTCCACACGATCAGACTATAATTTAGAACCAGCTCAAGATTGGGTAGACTAGGTCCGTTCTTGAATCTATTGTATTTGGTGTGGCTCCTGGTGCTTTGTAACTTGGAATATTTTCTGATTGTTCCCTAGAGTTTACTGTTTTTTGTAACATCATCAAGGATGATATTTATATCGTCCTGGACGATCTGTCCAAAAGCAAAAAACCCTAATTAGGGCTTCCTCATTAAAGCAGCCGTCATTATGCAAAAACACATCGTCCTGGACGATTTTGTATCGGCCATGACGATAGGCTCAATTCAGAAAGAATCTGCCGCCAGATCTACTTAGGATATACTTATTTTTGGACATCGTCCCGGTGGATCGGCCTGGCCTATCCAGAGCAATTTTTCTTAAATAAATCTGGCAATTAAGGAAAGCAATTAATGATGATTTGCACGATCACATCGTCCGGGCCGATTGGACATCGGCCAGCTTTATTTCAGGGCGATGTTCAGGACGATTTACCTTATATTTGAACTAATTGGTCATGACGATATGCCTATCGTCTTGTACGATAATGTCGGCAACTTGCATTAATGAGCTCGTTTTGAGATATTCTATTTAAGCTATGACATGACATTTGGTAAGTGTCTTTGGCAGTCATTATAGATTCGTTCTTTTGGGGAAAACTTGAAGAGAGAGATTGAAAGGGAGTGAGGAACGGGTGAAGTCTAAGAGAGGGAGAAGATTTTGTGAGGGAGGACTCAAGGGAGTGTGGAGGGGATTTCACACGGTTGCTCCGGCAGGCTTGCACCTTAATACTGTCAGATTAAAGGCTTGTCTCGAGGGAAGTTCACCAATGAAGGAGATCTATTTGGTGTCAAAGGACCTGGCGACTCCGCCGCACCGGGGAAGGTGAAAGTGATTTTGTAAGGGTTTCTCCGTCTAGCTGTAGGGGCTAAATGAGAGACACTTGTTTTGGTGCAATACTTGGAGGGTGCCTCCAAGGAGTGGACGTAGGTCAAGGTTTGACCGAACCACTATAAATCTAGTGTGTTCTTTCCTTTATTACTTCTGCATTTAATTTTCGTATTGTAGATTTCTCTGTGGTGATCTTGGGTCGGTTAATAAGGGGCCTAACATCCCTAACGAACTTTCAATTGGTATCATAGCACTTTTTTGTGTCATCTATGCACTTTCAAGAGTATCAGAGCGGGATTCATAAAAATAAGTTTTTGAAAACTTTTGAATTTTAATCCATGGCTAATTTTGTGAATCAAAATATTGCGAAAGGTTATTCAATCTCCAGACTACCTTTATTTAAAAATATTACTTTTAATTTTTGGAAAACTCGCATGTCTACTTTCTTGCAATCGATAGATTTTCACATGTGTCATATGATTTTAACTGGTTATTCATCACCGTCCGGTATCATAGATGGAGTTAAAACTGATATTCCTTTTAACCAGTGGAATAAGAAAGAACAAATAAATGCTCAATTGAATGCAAAATCTTTAAATTATTTTTTTGTTCTTTAAATTCTGAAGATTTTATGTTAATATCTACGTGCACTACTGACAAAGAAATTTGGGATAAACTACACACCATATACGAAGGCACTAGTGAATTCAAGCAATCCAAGTTGAATATGTTAATGTATGATTTTGAACTATTTTCTATGAAACATTTTGAAATGATCTTAGACATGTATACCAGATTCATTCAAATTGTAACATTATTGCATTCCTTAGGAAAAGAATTTTCAAATTTTGAAAAAGCTAACAAAATTTTTCATTGTCTACTGGATAAGTTCAATGCTAAAGTAGTTGCTATTTGTGAATCAAAAGATTTGAATGAATATTCTATTGATAATTTGATTGGCTCACTCATTACTTACGAGCAAGGTTTGGATCAAAGATTTTTGGATGCAGGTGAAACGATTGTTCTAAAAGTTGAAGAT